GTGAACGTTTGTAACTGGTGAACATATGTTACTGGTGAACGACTGTTACTGGTGAACATATGTTACTGGTGAACGACTGTTACTGGTGAACATATGTTACTGGTGAACGACTGTTACTGGTGAACATATGTTACTGGTGAACGACTGTTACTGGTGAACGACTGTCACTGGTGAACGTTTGTTACTGGTGAACATATGTTACTGGTGAACGACTGTTACTGGTGAATATATGTTACTGGTGAACGACTGTTACTGGTGAACATATGTTACTGGTGAACGACTGTTACTGGTGAACGACTGTTACTGGTGAACTTTTGTTAATGGTGAATGATTTACTAGTGAACGTTTGTTAATGGTGAATGATTTACTCGTTAACGTTTGCTACTGGTGAACGTTTGTTACTGGTGATCGACTTACTCCTGAACGTTTGTTACGAGTGACCGTTTGTTACTGGTGATCGACTTACGAGTGAACGTTTGTTACTTCTGAACGACTGTTGCTGGTGAACGTTTGTTACTAGTGATCGACTGTTCGTGGTGAACGTTTATTATTAGTGAACGTTTCTTACTGGTGAATGTTTGATACTGGTGATCGACTGTTACTGGTGAATGTTTTTTACTGGTTGAAAGTTTGTTACTGGTGAAAGTTTTTTTTACTAGTGAACGTTTGTTGCTGGTGAACGTTTTTACTGGTGAACGTTTTTTACTAGTGAACGACTGTATCTGGTGAACGTTTGTTACTAGTGAACGTTTGTTACTGGCGAACCTTTGTTACTTGTGAATGGTTATTTGGTGAACGTTTGTTACTGGCGAACGCTTGTTACTGGTGAACGTTTTTTACTGGTGAACATTTGTTACTGGTGAACGTTTTTTACTGGTGAACATTTGTTACTGGTGAACGTTTGTTACTGGTGACTGTTACTGGTGAACGACTTACTCGTGAACGTTTGTTACTGGTGAACGTTTGTTACTGGTGAACGTTTGTTACTGGGGAACGTTTTTTACTGATGAAAGTTTGTTACTGGTCAACGTTTGTTACTCGTGAACGACTGTTACAGGTGAACGTCTGTTACTCGTGAACGACTGTTACAGGTGAACGTCTGTTACTGTTGAACCTTTGCTACTGGTAAACGTTTGTAACTGATCAACGATCGTTACTCGTGAACGTTTGTTACTCGTGAACGTTTATTACTGGCGAACGTTTGTTACTGGTGAACGTTTGTTACTGGCGAACGTTTGTTACTGATCAACGTTTGTTACTGGTGAACGTTTGTTACTGGTGATCGTTTGTTACTGGCTAACGTTTGTTACTGGCGAACGTTTGTGACTGGTGAATGTTTGTTACTGGTGAATACTTGTCTGGTGAACGTTTGTTACTGGCTAACGTTTGTTACTGGCGAATGCTTGTTTGGTGAACGTTTGTTACTGGTGAATACTTGTCTGGTGAACGTTTGTTACTGGCGAACGTTTGTTACTAACGAACGTTTGTTACTAGTGAACGTTTGTTACTGGTGAATGCTTGTTTGGTGAACGTTTCTTACTGGCGAACGTTTGTTACTGGCGAACATTTGTTACTGGCAAACGATTGTTACTAGTGAACGTTTGTTACAAGCGAATGCGTGTTTGGTGAACGTTTGTTCCTGACCAATGCTTGATACTAGTGAATGCTTGTTACTAGTGAATGTTTGTTACTGGCGAACGTTTATTACTGACGAATGCTTGTCTGGTGAACGTTTGTTACTGGCGAACGACTTACTTATGAACTTTTGTTACAAGTGAATTTTTCTGACTAATGAGTATTTATTAACGCTAGATATTAGTATATGTCAACACACACACAGAACATAAGAACATAAGAATGGAAACTACAGCCCGGGCCTATTGGCCCACATACTGGGCAGTCCGTTTACACCCAACTATTGCTCATATGAGCATCAACCTATATTTGAGAAGCAATTCGGCGTATTCGAGTTAATGATGATGTTGGTAACTTGTTCCATTCATCCCTACTCTGTTTCCAAACCAGTGTTTACCTATTTCACGCCTAAATCTAAATTTGTCGAATTTAAGACCATTGTTAAGAGTTCGCTCCTGGTTGGATAGTTTGAGTACCTTTGTAATGTCCACCTTTGTTCAGTCTTGACTTCCACTTATACACCTCTATCATATTCCCCCTCACTCTACGTCTCTCGAGGGAGTGCAAATTTAGATGCTTTAACCTGTCTCTGTACTCAAGGCTCCTAATGCCCGGGATTAGCCTTGTCATTCTCCTCTGAATTCTTTCAAAGGATTCTATATCCATTCTGCCAATACGTGTGCAGAACTGAACTGCGTAATCCAGGTGTGGTCTCACAAGAGCAAGATACAGTTTTAGGATGACCTCGCTAGTCTTGTAACTAACACTCCTTTGTATGAACCCAAGTACTTTATTAGCCTTGTTACGAGCAAAAACACATTGTTAACTTGGCTTAAGGTTCCTACTTATCATTACTCCTAAATCTCTCTCGCAGTCGGATTTCTCTATGGCATCGTTGTTCATCTGGTATCTGGTTTCCCTGTTTACATCTCCTATACTGAGTACTTTACATTTGTCCACGTTGAATTTCATCTGCCATTTTTCAGACCATTCGAAAAATTTGTTTAGATCTTCCTGTAGTTTTGTGGAGTCCTCGTCAGATTTAATAACACGTCCTATTTTAGTGTCATCAGCAAATTTGCTTATGTTGCTGTCTATGTAGATATCAATATCGTTTATGTATATAATAAATAATAATGGTCCAAGTACTGAGCCTTGGGGAACTCCACTTGTGACGTTGCTCCAATGGGACTTAGTGCCATTAATGCTCACTCGCTGTTTCCTGTCCTGTAACCACACCCTAATCCATTTAAGGATATTACCTTTGATGCCATGTGCTTCTACCTTTCTAATTAGTCTTTCGTGGGGAACTCTGTCGAAGGCTTTGCTAAAGTCGAGATATACCACATCATAATTGTGCCCCTCGTCCACCGATTCGAAAACTGATGAAAAGAATGTTAATAGATTAGTTAGGCAAGAGCGTCCGCTTGTGAAGCCATGCTGGGAATCATTGATCAATCTGTGCTTCTCCAGGTGATTTCGAATAGAGTTTGAGATGATTGCTTCCAGTAATTTGCCTACTATTGATGTTAAACTGATTGGGCGGTAGTTAGAGGATAGTGATCTATCCCCCTTCTTGAAAATCGGTATTACATTCGCTATCCTCCAGGATTCTGGTACTACACCTGTTTTTAAGGACATGTTAAACAACTTTGCTAAGGGCATACTAAGCTCTTCCTTACATTCCTTTAATACTCTGGCAAATATCTCATCGGGACCAGGTGACTTATTAGGCTTTAGTTTGTCTATTTGCTTACTAACATCGTTACTAGTCACTACTATCTCATTTAATTTGTTTTCTTCACTATCTCTGAATAGGGTCGGTGCCTCGGGTATCATGTTTAGATTTTCGGTGGTGAAAACTGTTGAAAAATATTTATTCAAATTATTGCTCATTTCTCCGTCGTTATCAGTGAGCTCGCCGGAGTCTGACCGTATTGGTCCAATCTTTTCTCGTGTTTTAGTTTGATACATTTGGTAGAATCCTTTGAGTTGTCTTCGCCTCCTTGCTATCCATACCTCATTAATCTTGCTTTCCTTATCTCGGTTTTTTTAACTCTGCTACGCCAATACCTATAATAGTCCGGAGGTGAATTCGCCACGTTATCCTTCTACCTAGCCTTCCTTTGGCCAATGATGTTCTTTAAATAATTATTTTATCCATTTAGGGTCATTGTTGTCTGATCTGAGTTTTTTGTATGGTATGTTCTGCCTTTGTGCATTAAGTAACTCACTATTTAAATTATCGTGGAACTCGGCAATCTCAGATCTCGTTATCAGGTCGGTGTCATCTGTCAGGTTCACGGCCAAGCACGACACCCCCTCTCTCAACTGCCTCTTTAAACTGTCAAAGTTTGCCCTTCTGAAATCTGGTACTTTAGTGGAATTTTCCTTACGTCTGCCCTGAAAATCTAACTGGAATCGAATTTCTTTGTGATCGCTGTTTGCAAGTTCGTTCCCTACCTGGACATTGCTAATGAGGTTTTCTCTGTTCGTCAGAACTAAATCCAGTATATTATTACCCCGTGTGGGTTCGGTTATATGTTGACTTAGGAAACAGTCCTGGATCGTCTCGAGAAAATCCTCTGATTCTGAGTTACCCATAAGGACAGTCCAATCTATTTGGCCAAGGTTAAAGTCGCCTACTATGCAGACTTTGTTGTGTATGGAAGCCCTGCGCATTTCATCCCAGATAAGTCGCTCATTGACGCTATCAAGATTGGGAGGTCTATATATTACCCCTGTGATTAATTTTTCCCGACCGTCGCTTAATTCTATCCAAATGGTTTCTGGTATTCCTCCTGCTTTTTATTTCCTTATTTATTTCACACTTCACACACACATATATATTACCCTGTGATTAATTTTTCCCGACCGTCGCTTAATTCTATCCAAATTGTTTCTGTATTCCTCTCAGTTTTATTTCCTTATTTATTTCACACTTCAGATTATCCTACACACACACACACACACACATATAAATTATTGAATATGAGGTTTTCTGTTTAGTGTGTGTGTGTGTGTGTGTGTGTGTGTGTGTGTGTGTGTGTGTGTGTGTGTGTGTGTGTGTGTGTGTGTGTGTGTGTGTGTGTGTGTGTGTGTGTGTGTGTGTGTGTGTATGTGTGTTTTATTGTGTGTGTGTGTCTGTGTGTGTGTGTGTGTGTGTGTGTGTGTGTGTGTGTGTGTATGTGTGTGTGTGTGTGTGTGTGTGTGTGTGTGTGTGTGTGTGTGTGTGTGTGTGTGTGTGGCAAAACATTAATTTGTTCTCTGTCACATTATATTAGGATGTCTGTATTTTTCATATCACTGATGCTGTGTTTTTCTCTGCCCTTACAGGTATGTGATTTGAGTGTGTATGGAGGACAGGTGTGGAGGTGGTGTAGGTGAGTTATGGCAGGTGTGGAGGTGGTGACGATGAGTTATAGCAGGTGTGGAGGTGGCGACGATGAGTTATGGCAGGTGTGGAGGTGGTGACGGTGAGTTATGGCAGGTATGGAGGTGGTGACGGTGAGTTTGGCAGGTGTGGAGGTGGTGACGGTGAGTTTTGGCAGGTGTGGAGGTGACGATGAGTTATAGGGTGTGGAGGTGGCGACGATGAGTTATGGCAGGTGTGGAGGTGGCGACGATGAGTTATAGCAGGTGTAGAGGTGGTGACGGTGAGTTGGCAGGTATGGAGGGTGGTGACGGTGAGTTTTGGCAGGTGGAGGTGGTGACGGTGAGTTATGGCAGGTGTGGAGGCGACGATGAGTTATAGCAGGTGTAGAGGTGGTGATGGTGGTGAGTTATGGCAGGTATGGAGGTGGTGACGGTGAGTTATGGCAGGTATGGAGGTGGTGACGGTGAGTTATGGCAGGTGTGGAGGTGGCGACGATGAGTTATAGCAGGTGTAGGGGTGGTGACGGTGAGTTATGGCAGGTATGGAGGTGGTGACGGTGAGTTATAGCAGGTGTGGAGATGGTAACGGGGAAGAGCAGGTGTGCGTTAGGAAAGACATCTGTCGTAAGGGGACCTCCTGCCTGACAACCCATTGTGTGAAAAGGTTTCCATCTGGCCACGTTTTGTGTGTGGGAGTTGCGATAGAATTATAAGAATGAGTTTTTTGTTGGAGTGGCATTAATAGTAGTAGTGATAGTACTCATAGTAATGGTAGTAGTAGTAGTAGCCCTAGTACCGGGAGTATGCCCTTCGAGGTCATGATGGTTCGGGTCAATTTTGGATTTGGGGTCAAATTATATATTGGTATCAAAGCACCTAGATGTTCCGTGGAAGAGTGAGGGGGGGGCACTCTGAAACGTGCTTAAAGGCGAGCGCTTGTTAGGTCAGGGACACACGTAACCTTTGGTCATTTAAACTCAGGGGAAGAGGCGAGGTTATGTTGGTTAGGTCAAGGTAAGAAGATGAGTCACACAAGGTCAAGGACACACAAAGGGTAGGATGGTGGTGACCGCGGGGCATGACACGGGGAGGCTAGGTTAGGTGTGGTGAGAGGCAGGGACACATGTGGGTATGGCAGGTTGGGGCAGGGATTAGGTGGGCCAGGGTGGCTAGAATACTCCAGGGCAGGGTGGGTTAGGATACTCCAGGGGGCAGGGTGGTTGGATACTCCAGGGCAGGTGGGTTAGGATACTCCAGGGCAGGGTGGGTTAGGATATACTCCAGGGTAGGCAGGGTGGCTAGGATACTCCAGGGCAGGGTGGGTTAGGATACTCCAGGGCAGGGGGGGTGGCTAGAATACTCCAGGGCAGGGTGGGTTAGAGATACTCCAGGGCAGGGCAGGGGTGGCTAGGATACTCAGGGGCAGGGTGGGTTAGGATACTCCAGGGCAGGGAGTGGGGTGGCTAGGATACTCGGGGCAGGGTGGGTTAGGATACTCAGGGCAGGGCAGGTGGGTTAGGATCTCCAGGGCAGGGTGGGTTAGGATACTCCAGGGCTGGGGTGGGTTAGGATACCTCCAGGGCAGGGCAGGGGTGGGTTAGGATATCTCAGGGCAGGGGCAGGGTGGGTTGGGATACTCCAGGGCAGGGCAGGGTGGGTTAGGATACTCAGGGCAGGGGTGGGTTAGGATGCTCAGGGCAGGGTGGGTTAGGATACTCCAGGGCAGGGGTGGGTTAGGATACTCCAGGGCTGGGCAGGGTGGGTTAGGATACTCTAAGGCAGGGTGGGTTAGGATACTCAGGGCAGGGTGGGTTAGGATACTCCAGGGCTGGGCAGGGTGAGTTAGGTTCTCAGGGCTGGGCAGGGTGGGTTAGGATACTCTAAGGCAGGTGGGTTAGGATACTCCCGGGACGGGGTGGGTTAGGATACTCCAGGGCAGGGTGGGTTAGGATACTCAGGGCAGGGGTGGGTTAGGATACTCCAGGGCAGGGTGGGTTAGGATTCTCCAGGGCAGGGTGGGTGGACGGGTATGATTAGGTCATGATGGGCTCATTAAACTTAACCCAGCCTTATAGTGACGTGTGTGTGTGTGTGTGTGTGTGTGTGTGTGTGTGTGTGTGTGTGTGTGTGTGTGTGTGTCCCAGCAAGAGTAAGGACTCCCCAGCAAGAGTAAGGACTCCCCAGCAAGAGTAAGACTCCCCAGCAAGAGTGGACTCCCCAGCAAGAGTAAGGACTCCCCAGCAAGGTAGGACTCCTCCAGCAAGAGTAAGGACTCCCCCAGCAAGAGTGAGACTCCCCCAGCAAGAGTAAGGACTCCCAGCAAGAGGGACTCCCAAGAAGAGGGACTCTCCAGAAGAGTAAGGACCTCCACAAGAGTAAGGACTCCGAAGTGAAGAGCAAGGACTCTGAAGAAGAGTAAGGACTCCCCAGAAGAGTAAGGACTTCAGCAAGAGTAAGGACCCCCCAGAGGGACTTCCAGCAAGAGTAAGGACCTCAGCAAGAAAGCAAGGACCCCCAGCAAGAGTAAGGACTTCAGCAAGAGAAGGACTCCCAGCAAAGAGCAAGGACTCAGCAAGAGAAGGACTCCCCCAGCAAGAGATGGTGGTGAGGGTTCAGCCCGACTGCTGGAAAAATTACAGTGATGTGCTGGGGGTAACGCTCTCACCTGGGCCCCTCCTCCCTGTGTGTATGAGGAGAGAGAGAGAGAGAGAGAGAGAGAGAGAGAGAGAGAGAGAGAGAGAGAGAGAGTTCATTTACACTGAGCCTTGCCGTGTGGGGTGGTGTGGGCGTGGGGTTGGTATTATGTGTTACCGTGGGTGTGTAACTAACACACACACACTTCAGTCCTTGCTCCCCAGCAAGCTAACTGATCGATGCGGGGGTGTAGGGGGCTCACGTGACGCCAACAGAGGGAGAGAGAGAGAGAGAGGAGTTAAGATGGTGTCAAGCAACGGAACGGGAGGGAGGAGAAGTTGAGGTTGTATAATTGACGGGGGTAATAATGTTAAAACGAACCAGTTGATATAATGAACACACACTCACATACATGCTTACATACTCTTTTCAGTGTGTGTGTGTGTTCAGTAAAGTACTTGGAGGTCGACGGGGTGTTGTCGACGTCCGCGCGGTTTTTGTTATGGTTTTGAGGGTGACGTCACAAACATGGCGGTTACTACCACCACCACCACACGCACGGGGAATTGAGTAATACCACCAATCGACCTTCCAGGGTGTTAGTGGGAAGGATGGTAGGATGATGTGATGGTAGTGGTAGGATGAGGTGATGTGATGGTAGTGGTAGGATGATGATGGTAGTGGTAGGATGAGGGATGCTGTGATGGTAGTGGTAGGATGAGGGATGATGTGATGGTAGTGGTAGGATGATGTAGGTAGATGAGGGATGATGTGATGATAGTGGTAGGATGATGGATGCTGTGATGGTAGTGGTAGATGAGGATGATGATGGTAGTGGTAGGATGAGGGATGATGTGATGTGGGAGTGGTAGGATGATGATGGTAGTGGTAGGATGAGGATGATGTGATGGTAGGTAGGATGAGGGATGATGTGATGGTAGTGGTAGGATGAGTGGATGATGTGATGGTGGTAGGATGATGGATGATGGATGGTAGTGGTAGGATGATGATGTGATGATGGTGGTAGGATGAGGATGATGTGATGATAGTGGTAGGATGAGGGATGATGTGATGGTAGTGGTAGGATGATGGATGGTGATGGTAGGTAGGATGATGGATGATGTGATGGTGGTAGGATGAGGGATGATGTGATGGTAGTGGTAGGATGAGGGATGATGTGATGGTAGTGGTAGGATGAGGGATGATGTGATGATAGTGGTAGGATGAGGATGATGTGATGGTAGTGGTAGGATGAGGGATGATGGGATGATGGTGGTAGGATGAGGGATGATGTGATGATGGTGGTAGGATGAGGATGATGTGATGGTAGTGGTAGGATGAGGGATGATGTGGATGATGGTGGTAGGATGAGGGGATGATGTGATGGTGGTGGTAGGATGAGGATGATGATGATAGTGGTAGGATGAGGGATGATGTGATGGTAGTGGTAGATGAGGATGATGTGATGATAGTGGTAGATGAGGGATGATGATGATGGTGGTAGGATGAGGGGATGATGTGATGATGGTGGTAGATGGTGATGATGATGGTAGTGGTAGGATGAGGGATGATGATGATGGTGGTAGATGAGGGATGATGTGATGATGGTAGGATGAGGGATGATGTGATGATGGTGGTAGGATGAGGATGATGTGATGATGGTGGTAGGATGAGGGATGAGGATGATGGTGGTAGGATGAGGATGATGTGATGATGGTAGTAGGGATGAGGATGATGTGATGGTGGTAGGATGAGGGATGATGTGATGGTGGTGGTAGGATGAGGGATGATGTGATGTGGTAGGATGAGGTGAGTGATGGTAGGATGAGGGATGATGTGATGATGGTAGGATGAGGGATGATGATGATGGTGGTAGGATGAGGATGATGTGATGATGGTGGTAGGATGAGGATGATGTGATGATGGTGGTAGGATGAGGGATGTGATGATGGTGGTAGGATGAGGGATGATGTGATGATAGTGGTAGGATGAGGATGATGATGGAGGGATGAGGGATGATGTGATGATGGTGGTAGGATGAGGGATGATGTGATGGTAGTGGTAGGAGGAGATGATGTGATGATGGTGGTAGGATGAGGGATGATGTGATGAGGGTGGTAGATGAGGGATGATGTGATGGTAGTGGTAGGATGAGGGGATGATGATGATAGTGGTAGGATGATGATGATGTGATGGTAGTGGTAGGATGAGGGATGATGTGATGGTAGTGGTAGGATGAATGATGGATGATGGTGGTAGGATGAGGGATGATGTGATGGTGGTAGGATGAGGATGATGTGATGGTAGGGGATGGATGATGTGGTGGATGAGGATGATGTGATGAGTAGGATGATGGATGATGTGATGAGTGGAG